TTTGATCCCTCGAGTAGACCATCTCCTGAGTAAATGGATCTCTGTAAGAGGTTCGTACGGACATCACCCTGTGGGAGCCACTCGAAGATACCGGTACTTTCACTTCCACCAATAATTCTCTCTCCTCGTCAGAGTGCAAATCCCCGACCCGCACCGAATTCGACCCGACCGAAGCGGGCCGGGACTTAAATGAATAGACAGAAGAAATCTCTGCTGGGGCTGACCCGGATACGAATCCCAGTTGGAGCCTGACATCCTGCACCACCACGCTCACGAGACCGTTCACGATTTTACCAAACGCGTCGTCGTTTGGAGCGTGGGCGCACGTACCGAAACTGATGGAGTGCACGGGGATTTCCAAATGGGCCAGGCGCGTGGTTGAAACAACTGGGAGGTTCTGATTGGGGGGATACAATTGGGACTGTTTATCCTGACCGTCGGATAAGATCATGACGCTGGCAACGGCGTTTTTCTCTCTGCGGTCTTCCAACACTTTAGCCGCCTTTTTAACTGCGTCGTTGACACTCATCCCTTGCCCGTTACTCCCCAGCGCGTCCACAATCCTCCGCGCAGATCTCCGTCCGTTGGAACTCATCTTTTTTAACGGCATCAACCGTTTCGAACTCGATGAAAATACCACGATCGACAAACGGTCCGTTTCGCTAAGCAAAGAGATAATCAACCGCATCGCGCGTTTAACCATCTGCAACCGCATCCCACTCCCGCTAACATCCAACACGGTAACCAAATCAATCGGAGCCCTCTTCACCCCACGCGTCACGGTTGGCGCGTGCACTTTCATGACGACCACGTAACTTTCATAACTCCTCCCAACTGCCACCATCGCCGCCTCTCGTAATAGCCTAACCTCCACATTTCTCGCATTAACTCCAACTTCTGTCCCAATCTTCGGAGTAACAATAAAGCCTTGGAATTCCTCTTCTAAGTCGTCTTCGGTTTCTTCGGATTCTGGAATGGGATTAAACTGAGAATGAGAAACAGGGGAGGCTAATGGTTCATCGTCGTTATAGACACGAAACGACTTCGTTTTGATGTCTTTCAGAGATGTTTTATTAGGTTGTTCCGTTTGCTGAAGAGAGAGTAAAGGGAGCTCTTTCCAGGTGATGGAACAGACGGGGCAAATTAGTAATTGTCGCTTTTTTATATGGGCGGCGATGCAGGGGAAATGAAAGGAATGGGAACACTCCGCCGTGAAAATCGCCGTGCCTTGGCCCGTTTTCACACTCTGTGCACAGATTCCACATCGACCACCCTGAAAAAAATATAACAAAGTTAGTGGAAAGGACGAAATTTTGAAAAAAAAAAAA